GTTGTGTCAACTGGGACAGCCATTGTGGCCAAAATAGCGGGCTTGTAATAACTCCAGGCCCTTGCTTGAAGAGGAGAGGATCGTGGGAGCATAGGTTGGTGTCCCACAGCTCGGCTCACCCAGCAGGGGATCAGTCCTGAGTCTGCAAGGCACCAAATGCTACATCCCTAGGAAAAGAAGGAATAAAGTGAGCTTCCCCAGCCCTCGTCTGTTCAGTGCTGTTTCTTGTGTCGTGCATTGCTTGGGAAAGGCTAAGGCTGAACGGAGACCTCCCTGGTAGCCAAGGGCATGTGAGGCTCGGTTCCTTCTCTGATCGTATAATTACAGGGTGACGCTTCCTTGGCATGTGCTGAGCTGGAATGGATCTCAAGGGAAGACAAACTGGACCCTGCCTTGCCACTGACTCTACAGAACTCTGGGCAGGTCACCTCTTCTCTGGGCTTAGATATGTCATTCTCTACATGGCGAATTGAGGGGCCAGGGAGATAGCTCAATAGACTAAGCACTTGCCTAGGGGGCCTGCCCGTTAGCTCAGCTGTTTAAGTGCCTGCTTAAGCACAGCATTCAGGCTCAAGGTACTGTGGTTTGCCCCCCAGATCCTCATGCCTTACCAGACCTGCCCTTAAGGCATCCTCAGCCAGAGGAAAAAAAACAAACCTTTAGAATAACTGCTTGTCTGACAAGCACAAGAGGGTGAGTTCAATCCCTGGTTCCACCAAAAAAAAAAAAAAAAGAGAGAGAGAGAGAGAGAGAGAGAGAATTGAAATAGATGAGTGTGTAGGGGCGGTGGGAAAGGTAGGGTGTGGTGGCCGTGGGCATCCTGTCTGGAGTCATTTGCTTCCAAACTCAAGTGTTGGTTCCTTGCACACTTACTTGCACACCAGCTATACACCTGGTGGCACTTTCTCTGATTGCTCAGAAATGTCCCAAATGGCAAAGCTCAACCCTTCCACCACACACAAAATCGCAATTGGCTGAGGTAACTGACCCTTGTCCTCCATTGCCCTACTTAAAGCTGTCCCCCTCCCAGAACAAAGATGTATCAGTTTAGCTTTTCTGTTGCTGAGATCAAATAGTTGACTTTTTTTTTTTTTTAATGTATATAGTACAAGGTCTCCCTATGTAGATTGGACTTGTAGTGATTCTTCTTTTTTCAGCTTCCCAAGCGCAGGGATTACAGGCGCACACCACCACATCCAGGCTCAATCACATCTCAGTGTGCCCTGGGGGTGGGGCCAGCACGGCATGCCAGGGATTGAACCCCACACTCTTTGCTCTCCCTAAGCACTTTAGTCCTTTGAACTCTCTGGCCAGCCCCAAATAATTAACTTAAAAGAGGTGGTGGTTTGTTTGACTCATGTTTCAAAGGGTTTAGTTTGGAGTTTGTCAGCATCTGTTACAGTTTGTGTCTAGATGCCCCCTACACACACACACACACAAAGCCTCATGGAATCATGGGGTTGGCTTTTAGAGTTTGTGATTGTTTCATGGTCCTAAACTGGGATTATGGGTGTGAGGCTACCCTCAGGCAGGTGGCCCGCACACAATACAAGGAGGAAAGGAGGCTGGTTCTCTGCCTCCTCCATTTTGCTCTTGTTGCTTTTCCTGTTTTCCACGCCGTGACCTGCTGCCCTCTGCCCTGTGCCGCCCTGCCTTGGAGCCAGCTGAGTATGCCCCGGGACCTCCATGAACTGTGAGCTAAATGAACCTTTCCTTCCTTCATTCTGGAGTCAGGAATGTTGACCCAGCAATGAGAGAAAAGGAACCAAAGCAGCCCTGAAGGAGAAGCATCATGGCGAAAGGGCTTGGGCACGTGGAGGAGAGCTGCTCTCTCATGGCGCCTGGGAAGCAGCAAGAGCAGGAGGGAGGCCGAGTGCAAGGGCCAGGGACCACGGAGAGCGCTCACGCCCACACCGCGGCGAGCCACGCAGCACACGCAGGGGTGCTGGGGCTCACTATGCTCTTTTCTAGCTCTGTGACTGATTACTCCAGATACTTCCTCCAAGTGAAACTCTATTGTATTGGTCTGCTGTGACTAGTTTATTTCACTCTGTGTCATGGCCGCAAAGCCCATGCATGTTAGAGCTTGTGTCAGAATCATCTTCCTTTGTAGGGCTGAGTACTGTGCTAC